TCAAGAACCTTTCTAATTTAATCAGAATCTAAAATAACGTTCACAGGATAACTGCTACCAGATAGAATAACTCATAAGCAGAGGAAAACTAAAGGGGAAATCAGGGCCTATCAGCAATGAAGGTATGTGGTTAGACAAAATTGATTTCATTCCATGCAAACTTTCTAGTCTTTCTAGAGTTTCCATATAACTGGCTTCAGCCGAGAGCTCTGCGCACGAGCGCAATTCATGCCTCGTCTACACGTATACAGATATGTTTTTAAAACGGCTATTTTTTTTTTCCTCCGGTTTAGCGTTCCACCCACACTTAACACGGCGTTTTCGAGCACCGAAAATGCAGTTCTTCGTAAATGCTGTCTAGGGTGGATTTTTTTGAAAATTAAAATACGATGAAATCATAGATAGAGTCCAGTCTATCTCGGTCCGCGTTCCGCTTGTGAAAAATCAACATGGCGGACAGACAACATGTGTCGTTTCTACTCGGGCTTCGTTCAAGCCTAATAGCATGCATACAGATGCATTTCACCTTATTAAATCTTCAAGCTGACTTTGTAAGGAAGCGATGAACATAAAAAGGATGTTTTCTGTGTCAGTGTTGAGAACAAAGGCTGTAAAACGTAAACATGTTCTAAGCTTAAAAGGAGATCGACGGACGAATAAGAGTAAATACCGTACAAAATGGTGCCCAGAGCTGCTTGCGGGTTATATTTTTGGCAACGCGCATGTTCTCTATTGTATTTCCATAGCGCAGAAAAAAATGGAGCCATTCTTTTCTACGCCCTAGTATTTCCATCGTTTTAGCGTCTCGTGTGGACAAGCGAAGACGATTTTAATAAGCCCCGTGTGCATGTGGACGCGTAGTTTTTGAAAATGGAAAAAAGTAATATCCGGATACGAGTAGACAAGGCTTCAGCCGCTTTGAATTTTTAGCGACGTTCACCGTCGCTGCTTCGGGATACTTCCCTAAGAATACATTTCATTCTTTTAGCAACTTAGTGTACATGTTAGTCGCTCCTTTTCCGTTTTCAATCATATTTAAACGGAGGCATTTCCAAAGCACGATCCAAGAACATGACACAAGACATTTTGAAAGGACATGAATGGTCATCGCAGTTACCGTAAATCCCCTCAGGCACTTATTTCAAATTTAGGAGAAGACGAGGCGTTTATTCGAGCGAGGCGCTTAATCGAGGGGGGG